ATGTGAAAGTGAATGATAAATTTTAATGTAAATTGTTGATAGGTAGCGATGGAAATAAATCAAAAGTGAAAGAATGTAGTAAAATAGGTACATATGGTCACTCATATCATCAAATGGGAATAGTTTGTACAGTAGAAAGAGGTGATGAAGACAATGAAGTAGCATATTAGACTTATTTATCAAATGGGTAAAATATAAGATATAAAATTTAGTTGTCCATTAGCTTTATTGCCTCTTTATAATCCCTATAGTTCAATAGTGTGGACAGTATATATGGATGATTATAAATATTTGATGTCACTTTCAGATGAAGAATTTCTGAAGGCTCTCAATAGTTAATTAGGAAGATATGCTCCAAGGATTAAGAATATTATCAACAAAAGGATGGCATTTCCGTTACAGTCTTTGCAAGCTTAAAGATATATTTAAAAAAGAATAGCTTTAATTGGAGATGCAGCACATTCTAATCATCCTATGGCAGGCTAGGGAATGAATATGGGTATTAATGATGCAGCTCTATTGGCTAATTGCATAATTAAGAATTCAAGGTCTGGAAATGATATTGGGTTAGAACAATCTCTATAAGAATATGAATCTTAAGCCAAACTTATGAATTATACTACATCTATAGCAATGGAATTGATAAAGAACACTTATGAAAATAAGACCATTTCCCCTTTGAGATAACTTGGAACCAAAATAGTCAATAACCTAGATCCCCTTAAACAGATAATGATTCAATATGGATCTAAACATCCATTGGGACCATCTGAATTTGAATGGGCCAAATGAAAATGATGTTATATATTAATCAAAAAATTATTAATGTTCAATTATATCGCAATGAATGAATAACGAGTGCGTGAAGGTGTACAAAAATTTGAACCAGCTGTTGGTGCAAGAAAATATATAGATTAAGAATATCAACATGCTTTAGAATCATTTAATACTCGAATTTATGAAATAAATTATACAATAATAACATTACTTATTATTGTACAGAATAAAAATCTGAATGCGCCAGAATATGTTCTATAAGCAAATGTTTTTGTAGTCATCTCTTTAGTATTGTTTTTTAAAATATATTTATTAAGATCTTTTACTTTTTAAATATTAACTACAATAACATAAACAGTTACTAGGCAAAAAATTTAATACTGGTTGTGAAAATTGTGAATGCAAAAGATTTAAGTTTGTACCATCAAGACCAGAAGAATGTAAAATGTATTGATTACCTCTTAGAAAAGAATTTAATATTTTGACTTGGAGACCTCCTTTTAAATGTAATCATGGAAGCGAAGACAATCTTCCTAATTTCTTAAAAAGATGTAAGAAATGTCAATGTTTTGATTTTGATTCTTATTTTGCATGCAAAGCTTGTGATAGAAGATAGGAATTACATGAAATACTTTAAGAGGATGAGTCAGAAAGAAAAGCTTTAGGCAAAAAGATTTCTCAAGATTACCTTCCACTTTCTACTACTCCAGACATTCAACAAAATGTTTTTTAAAATTAAAAATACTAATAAATGCCTTAAAAATTACAATAAGGATTAGTCGGAAATGTTAAACCATTACCAAAATAACAACTCTAAACTCAATAATATACTATTCCTTATACTAGACCGAGTCAATAATAACAAAAAGCTATTTAGTAATAATAATAATGTAACAAAACCGTTTAAAAGAAAAAGTGAATAAATCTTTATATGTATTAATAACATAATTTTCACACTCTTCCACTAAAATCTTTATCTTTAAAAAAATAATATACAACACAAATCTAAGTTATAGATATTATTAATAATATTCCTATTTTTGCTGATGCACACCATTTTACATTTTATTGAGTCTACTCCAATACTAATTTTGATATAATATATACGCATTTGATGAGCATTTTCTCTGTCAGTAATCCAATTTTAGTTTCTATAAATTGTTTAAAAGTTTCGATTAGTCCTTGACAATTCCTTAGACATATCACTAAACTGTTCTGATTAGGCATACTCTTTATCTACACCATCCATGTCAAAATCAAAACTTACAGTCTTATACCCTTTGGACTAACTTTTGAAACAAATATAATAAGTGCCCTTCTCTCTTAAAAACTATTTCAAAGCTCCTTCTTTTGTATTTTATTTTTTAGCTAATTTATCTCCATGTTCTGATTCAATAGTAATTTCTGTTTTATTTTCATCCATCCCAGATATCTAATAATTTACTGTTACATGGGTATTTCCTGTATATGATTTAACATAAAAACATGTAGGTTTTTAAGTAATCTATACTGATAAACCATGTCCTAAATATATGAAACAGATCAAATCCAATATCTTCATCTTTTTTAATATAAATTATACATTACTTTATTAAAATTAATGAATTAAAGACCAATACAAAATGGATACCTGTAATTTAATAAAATAAACTATAATAACAAAAACATATATTTGGACTATCTAAGAAATTTATTATAAGAAATTTTTATGTAATTTCTATCTATGACATATAATGATGCTGGAGAATGGGTTAATAGAATTAAACAAGCTATTCTCATTTCAGAATATGAGGCTTTGTTTGACTCATCTAATTTTTAGATTTCGATTGATTAAATCAAACCCTATCAAAATGATTCTTCAAATGTAACTAAGTATATAAAGTTTTCTAATTTTTTGAGAAGTATTCCAGAATATGAGTAAAAATAATTATAACTCTACTAAGAATTAAGTAAAGATAAATGGATTATTGAGAAAACTTTAAAATAAATGAAATTATCAACAATTTAATCTTAGAACAATATTTTTTTGAAAGGTGAATATGTATTGAACACTACTTTAGAAAATGTTGCTAGTATTATTAAAGTAAATTAATCAGTTAATCCTAACTAGAAAGGTGGAATACATCTAAATTTATTGAAATAATCATCTGATATCCATGAAATTGATTTTTGTTAATATCATTAAGATTTTTTGAATTTTAATAATGATGGTAAGAGGTATATTTTTGAGTCTAAATATATCTAGTTTGATTTTTAGAGTAATAATTCCTTCTTTTAACAAGAGAATCCATAATAGAAAGTTAATTTCCCATAATTAAGATTTCTGATAGCAACTCAAAAATAAGTAAATTTCCATATTTAAAATATTGGAAATTATGCATGTTGTTGAAGAAGATTCGAAATGTTTTACACAATATATGCAGGTAATTAAAAAAATGAAATGAAAAAATAATAAGAGAACTAATTAANTATCACTAAACTGTTCTGATTAGGCATACTCTTTATCTACACCATCCATGTCAAAATCAAAACTTACAGTCTTATACCCTTTGGACTAACTTTTGAAACAAATATAATAAGTGCCCTTCTCTCTTAAAAACTATTTCAAAGCTCCTTCTTTTGTATTTTATTTTTTAGCTAATTTATCTCCATGTTCTGATTCAATAGTAATTTCTGTTTTATTTTCATCCATCCCAGATATCTAATAATTTACTGTTACATGGGTATTTCCTGTATATGATTTAACATAAAAACATGTAGGTTTTTAAGTAATCTATACTGATAAACCATGTCCTAAATATATGAAACAGATCAAATCCAATATCTTCATCTTTTTTAATATAAATTATACATTACTTTATTAAAATTAATGAATTAAAGACCAATACAAAATGGATACCTGTAATTTAATAAAATAAACTATAATAACAAAAACATATATTTGGACTATCTAAGAAATTTATTATAAGAAATTTTTATGTAATTTCTATCTATGACATATAATGATGCTGGAGAATGGGTTAATAGAATTAAACAAGCTATTCTCATTTCAGAATATGAGGCTTTGTTTGACTCATCTAATTTTTAGATTTCGATTGATTAAATCAAACCCTATCAAAATGATTCTTCAAATGTAACTAAGTATATAAAGTTTTCTAATTTTTTGAGAAGTATTCCAGAATATGAGTAAAAATAATTATAACTCTACTAAGAATTAAGTAAAGATAAATGGATTATTGAGAAAACTTTAAAATAAATGAAATTATCAACAATTTAATCTTAGAACAATATTTTTTTGAAAGGTGAATATGTATTGAACACTACTTTAGAAAATGTTGCTAGTATTATTAAAGTAAATTAATCAGTTAATCCTAACTAGAAAGGTGGAATACATCTAAATTTATTGAAATAATCATCTGATATCCATGAAATTGATTTTTGTTAATATCATTAAGATTTTTTGAATTTTAATAATGATGGTAAGAGGTATATTTTTGAGTCTAAATATATCTAGTTTGATTTTTAGAGTAATAATTCCTTCTTTTAACAAGAGAATCCATAATAGAAAGTTAATTTCCCATAATTAAGATTTCTGATAGCAACTCAAAAATAAGTAAATTTCCATATTTAAAATATTGGAAATTATGCATGTTGTTGAAGAAGATTCGAAATGTTTTACACAATATATGCAGGTAATTAAAAAAATGAAATGAAAAAATAATAAGAGAACTAATTAATTTCAACTGAATTAGACTTACTTCTAATATAAATTAATAAGGATTTAATACCCATTACATAATCAAGAATTATAGTGGAACAGATTAATCAAATGGGGATAACTTAGAAAATAAATTTTTTAAAAGGAGAAAATATACATTTTTCTCCATAAGATCGATTAGAATGAGAGGATATTTTGATTAATTTATTGTCATTATCGATTGTTATAAATTGGAACCAGCTAATTTCTCTTTCAGTGTATTGAAGAATGCATTTATAGAGATTTTCAATTTTTATCCTGAAAGACAATTTAGAATTTATGTATTAAATACAAATTTCTTAACTCGATCCTTTTACTCTTTGTTAAAACCTTTTTTACCATCAAGAACAGTTGAGAAAGTTTAATTAATTATATTTTTAGATCAATTTTATAGGATAAGATTTTCTTGAGATTAAGAAAGCATTGTTGAAAGATTTAGATGAAGAAACAATTCCATAAAGGTATGGAGGTAAAAATATACTAATTTAATGATTATGAATTAAAATTATCAAAATTATTGATCAATTTTTTCTATTTTAGTAATTGGATTGCATCCTCATATCAATAGGATAACTTAATCTAATAATATTTAAATTCAATATTTTTGATATTAATTTAACGTATAAAATTATTTAATTAGAAATCTAATCGAGAAAAAGGTAAAGATCTAACGTTTTAAAGAATATAAAATTAACTTATAAATCATTTATTGGTTGTCTTGTATTCAAAATAGTTGTAGGAGTTAAGAATTTAATCATTTTGCCTGACTACTATTTTTAGATTATTGTATTTTTTATCAATTTTTTCTGAAATCTGGCACACTATGGATTTTTTACCACTTAAGACATCTATTATAGAAGAGGGAGCAGATCGTTTATTGTTTTTATAATAATGAATTAAAGATTTAGCACTAGAGTAATTTAGATTCAATGCTTTGGCAACCTGATATTGTTATAAAAAAGAAAACCTCTTTAATTTATTTTCCTTCTTGAAACACTTGTCGAAATAGTTATTATTGTTGTTCTATTGGGATTTTATGGATCCTTCTGGTGTTAGATTTCGAGATTATTCTTTTAGGAATATAGTCCTCTCCATCAGAAGATTGAGTACTAGAGATTTCATCCTCAAAAAGTAATTTTTTGTCTGTCTTACTCATTATTAATAACTAAGATAAATAATAAAATATTACTATAGTTTAAGACATTTAATAAATTAATTTCAATAAAACCATATCTTGTTTTTCTAGATTTATTTGTAATTAAATATTGAATGAAACATATAGATAATAGTCATAAAGGAAGAAGTGATTAATAAAAAAGCAAATATAAACTTAGATGATGTGGATTTAATAAAAAGATTTAAATAATAATATATTTTTTATTTGTATAAATCTCATTAAGCTGCAACGACAGGCGGTTTTCTCATTTCTCTAACAAATCTCTAATAAATCTCGTCCTCTCTCTATTTCAATTCTTAAGCAGTTCTAGGAGCATAATAATTTGGATAATCCAAACCTAAATTATATATATTAGATATTATTACCATATTTTGTAATTTTTAATAATTGTTTCTCAACATAATTGACAACCTTTGATGCATCAGCCCAATTTCTATTAGCATTAGCTCTATGGCCCAAAATAAAAGGAGTTCGTAATTGGAAGTATTATTATTAATAGTTCTTTATTATAGTAATGCATCAAATACCAAAGCTTTATCCAATCTAGCACTTATATGATAAAGATTTGTAATTCTACCTGATTCATGATTAAGAAATACTCTCATATGATTCAAAAACAATTCACCTTTAAAATAAAATTCTCAAATACCAATTCTCAATCTCTTTGCAAAAGCTTCGTATTCAAATTCAGTCAAATCAGGTCTCATTGTACTGAATGAGGATTTATAATATTTGAAATGCTATTCAGTACTCATTTAACGAGCATTTATAGCTATTCCTCTCTCTGGATCGATGTAAACTTCATCTGTTTCTGTGCCTCTCTAATTTCTCAATTGATTCATATTAATATAAATATTAATTTTTTCGATATAAATTTTGAGATGGAAAAAAATAAGCCTTTTATAATAAAAAAGCGAGAAGGGGATTCTTTGTTACCTCCAGATTGTGAAGAATTCAATGATGCAATTGAGGATAAAATTAGATTTTTGCAAAGTTCAAATATTTTCATTATTGTAAGCTAACTATATCATAATCTTTAGTGTGCATTCATATATTAGTGTATAAGATTTCTATACTATTTCTTTCATTATAGAACAACATGTTAAACATATGCGATATTATGCTTAGTGATAATTGGTGGAAATATTTTCTGGATTGCAAGTTCAACCTATGGATTTCTTGGGATTAATTCAAAATCATCATCAGAAATAGGAAAATATTTATGTTTGACTTCAGCAGTCTTAGCTATTAGATTAGTAACATACTTTTTAGTATGGGCTCTTATGCAAGGATATGCATAACAATATAATTTTTTATCCAAAACTAGATTGTTATAAGAGAATGTAACCAATCCTCCAACTTAAATTACTGATGATTAGAAGTAAGAAATTATTTGTGGATAACTTTATCAAGGAACTTTAATGATGGTTTAAGCTATTATTGAAACTATCTTTTTAGGAATCATTATCTATTTTGTATTGTAAGTCAAAAAGTATATAGCAAGTAAATTTCTTATTAATTACTTAGACTATGAAAGCAATTAACAAAAAAAATAAAGGAATTGGAATCTTTAAGCTTCCATTGTTTGATTACAAAAAATTGTAATTAATATATTTTATATATTCTATTAAATCATCCCATAATTGTTTTGAATGCATTAAAATCCATATCTTTATCAATTATGTTTTTAACATTTATTTATTATTCATGTTGGTCAACTTATGCTAACTAATTTTTTGTATTTGAAATACCATCCCATTTATTATTCAAATTAGCATTTTAATCTAAAATAAATTTAATACTATTTTGTGTTATCATCTTATCAGACTAACTTAAAAAATCAAACATAAATTGTAATTTTTTTTGATAATCCTATGGAGTTAATGTCAATGCAACAAATTCAAAATAGTCCAAATAGCCATTATTGTTACAATCAATATATGACCATAATTTTTGAATATCTTATTTATTGACTTTTAAATAGCTAGCCAATTCTTATTATGTAATCAAACCACTTTATGAAGTATTTATGAAAAAAAAAGTATTTTTTTAGTTACTTAAATCACAAGAATCAATTTATGTAGATAAATAGTAAAGTGCCAATCTTCTTAATGGATGATATTTAACCCATTAAATTAGGTTTTACATTGAAATAAGTTTAAAATCATTTTGAAATTTTTAATTGTACTAGTTTATTAATTTATGACTTAGCAAATCTTTAGGTATAGCTCTTATGGGTGCTGGACATATTTACTGCCTAATGAAATCTTTAATTTCTTATGAAATTCCTTGCCATTCATCACCTAATAATAATATATTTCAATAAACCTTCAAATTACAAAGTCCCAGATTTAATTTCAATAAGTATTTCTTTTTCATTTTCTCCATAAAATGGAGGATAACCACATAAAGTTACATAAAGTACAACCCCCGCTGACCAGACATCACATTTATAATCGTATAAGCCATCTAGTACTTCTGGGGCTACATAGTAAGCCTATTTATTAAATTAATACTATTACTGTTCCACTTTTAGTTTGTAATTTGTCTACTCCTCTTTTTGCAATTCCAAAATCTATAACTATGAGTGAATTCATGTCATCCTTTTTTTGAAATAAAAAGTTCTCTGGTTTCAAATCTCTAAAATTATAAAAATTAATACCGATGCACTATTTTAAATCCTTAATAATAATTGACTGCTCTCATATATTATATATAAGCTTTAAATGCATCATCTACAGAAAGACAACCCTTTTCAAGAACTTTATCAAAAACATCTCCTCCTTAACACATTCTATCAAGGAATTGAATTTATATTTTTACTCCAAAACCATATACAAATACTCTGCATCTTCAAAGGTTTCAAACAATCTTAAAATGTTAGGATGATCCTAAAAATAAGGATATTTAATACCAATAACTCCATAATTGTGATTTCACTCAATAATCTATCTTTGTATTTAATATTCAATTTATTAATCACTTTAACTGCTCTCACTTGTTTACTTACTTAATGAACTGCTCTATAAACACTCCCATAAGCACCTTATCCAATTTTCTAAATAAAATAATTAAGATAGACTCACATCTTTTAGTTCATAACTATACACTTTTGAAATAGGTTAATTATTTTTTTTAATCAGTGTTTACTTATAAATGTGAAAAGCAGTTGATTTTGGATCCATCTAATATTTGTTTTAAATTTATATATTAATTATAGATATTACATTACTCTTAATTTAATTTTCAAAATCACTGTATCTAAGTGTATTACACTATTTAATGTTTGTATTTTTAATATAATTGATTTATTATATTGTGTAAAAAGATATGAATATAACAAAAAATAATAATCTCTATAAACAATAATTAAAAAAGATATTTAATTAAATAATCAATTAAATATAGTATTTTTAATAAAGTAAATCATTTGCAAGTCAATGGTATTCCAAATAATTTTTTGAAAATACTTTATTTTTATTACCTTGCCTCACTAACTTTTAAATCTGTTTCCTCAAGTTTATTTATTATTATTGGTTCTAATTATTTCACAACAACGACAAATCGTTTTTCATTTGTTCTAAACAGTTTTCTATTCCTCTCTAAAGCAGGAAAGGATAATTTAGGTTCTCCGCTTTTTTTTGCTAAATACAATGAAACATCTGAATTCGAAATGTTTTATTTCTTCATAATAAAATCGAGAACTTCTCCTACAGTAGTTTAATCATCTTAATCTACTTAAATTAACTATTTATTTATGTAGATATCAAATTAAAGTTTCTCTACTTTTAAGAGGCTTTTTTTTGCTTATGACATATTATATAATAAATTATTTTATATATTTTCTTATTACAATTAAGTTAAAATACAAGGCTAACGAATAGATTTTAATATTATTTTTATTAGTATTCCTGAATCGATGTCATTATTTAAAATAAATAATAAATCAATCAAATAAATCATCATTTACCAAATCAAATTATCTCTATTTTTTATTCCAAAGAAAGAGTTATTTTTTATAATATCTAATTTATAGCATTTTAAATTACTTCTCATTGTATTCCTACAATAAATCATCATCTAAATCTTCTTTGAAGATGTCAGAGAATTAAATTTCCGCAGTGTGTTATCCGGATTGTTGTTTTTATGAACTATTGTTTTGAAATCTATTATATTCTCTAATTTTTGGTAAATGAAATTATCTGACTTTTTAGTCATAATCCTTTCTTCTCTTCCAGATATCTTCTGCTTTTATCTTTTTTCCATCTTCCCCAAAAGATAATTAATTTTTATGATATTTGTTGGGAACAACAGAAGAATGAGTAATTTTATTCTCAGATTATGGTTTGCTGCCATATTCATTTCTTACTAAAAATCTTCCTTTCTATGGACCTTATTTGTTTTCCTCATTCTTAAGTTAAACTATAGCATTATTGTTATCAACTTTCAGAACAGACTCTTTGTTATTAGAAATCAAAGCTTCAGATTGTTATTTCTGAAGATGAACACTTTGAATACCCTACTTAAATTTGGAATTACTTGCATAGATTTTCTGACTTAAGCAGCATCCTCTAAAGGTAATTTTATTTTGGTAGCTGACGACTAAACTTTATATTTCAATTTACATAAGTAATATATAAGGATTCTAATGGTTCTGTTTTTTGCTTATTTATTTACTATAAAACTCTTTGTTAGATAATGGATTGCAAAGTATTCATTTCTAAATTAACTATAATTAATTTGTATTTATTTTTCATTTAATTACCTCGACCTTCAAATCCTCTTCTTAACTCCTTTCTTTATTTTATTCATTTTATTTTCTTCTATTTCTCCTTATCATCCAAATACCCAATAATTTATATAAAAATACATCATTAATTATCATAATCAAATGGTCAGAGATCTATATGATTTCCTTTCTTAAAATACTGAGAGTACAGATGCAGAGCTTAATTATCACAAATTTATCCTTAATAAAACTAGAGTTTCTAAACCAAATCCATCTGCTTACAAAATAGAAGAAATTCGATAAAGAAAAAAAAGTTATGCATTTGGATCTTCGACTGAAAGATCAAAAGAAGATATCAAATTACCTCCATTATTGAGCTATGAAATTTCGTATTCTCAAGTAGATGTCAATATTCCTAAAGTCAGAATTTAATAAAGAAATAATAACCAATCAAATACTAGATTTACCACCGAATCTAATATCAATAAAGTAAGATAACCACAAAAAGCGAAATCTCTTCGTACTGAGAGCACTAATTAAAGATAACCGTTGAAATCATTTCCATTAGAATTCGAAAGACCTAATGAATATTTTCCTACAAATCCATTTTAACCTATGAGCAGCACTGAACTTAAGGATTTGTTTCAGAGTCTATTGTATTTTATAATCTTTAATCAATAGATCTAAACATAGGGTTCGTAAGCCAACTAATTCCTGGGATCGATGACGTAATCTCATGAATAATCATTTGTTTATGTTTAACATATATGATCAAATTATATTCAATTTTATTCTCAATTAATTGCATATTTATCAATATCTCTTTTAAAACCTAGGAATTTCAAAATACCTGTTGCATTGCTTTTAATTAAGAAAAAAAAATAATAATATTATATTTAATGTCATTATATTATCAATTAAAATTTAATAGATTAGAACCAAAACGAGAAATAGAATTCAAAAACTTTAAAGTTCAAAATCAATATTTAGTTGTAAAATAATTAAAGAGAAGAAATAAAAATTAATTTCAAAATATAAGTCCTTTTAGTCCATAAAGATCAAAACACCTTCCAAAGTTAAGATTACCTAGTCTTCCTAATTCTGATAGCAATCAATAATGTCTCTCTAAAAGTCCAAAGAATATTGCTCAAAAGAGCATTCTCGAATATCCTTATTTAAAATTGATTAGTTAATAAAGTTAAGACTTAAAAGAATTTGTAACCAATTAACGGCCCATAATTGATAAATCATTTTATAAAAAGAAAGAAAAGACTGGATTTTAAACTGATGATTCAAGCTTCGAATATAGAATATCGAAACCTTTAAGGAAATACTCTTTATAATTTTAAGATGATAAAAAGTAAAAATTTAGAATTGATATAGATTGAATTTAAGTCCAACAAATAAATAAATTTGATATTATACATTTGCACTCATATTAAATAAAAATTTTGAATTTTTTAAGTGTCTGTAGTTCATTTGTATAAATAATTGAATTAATATTGGAAAATAAAAAAAAATATTTGGTTTAATATATAAGCACATTTTAAAATTAAATAAAATCTTTTTTTATTTAACAAAGCATTTAATGGGAATTTCAAGAGATAGCAGACACAAAAGAAGACTAACAGGAGGTCGTATGCCAATCCATAAGAAAAAGAGAGCCTTTGAGAAAGGAAGATAAGCAGCTATGACTAAATTAGTATCAGGAGAAAAAAGAGTAAGAAGATTAAGAGTCCGAGGAGGAAATTTCAAATTCAGAGCTCTTCGTTTATCAGAAGGAAATTTCTCATGGGGAAGCCAAGGTGTTGCTAAAAAAGCTAAAATTGTTGAAGTTGTTTATCATCCATCAAATAATGAATTGGTTAGAACAAAGACACTTACAAGAGGAGTGATTGTTTAGGTAGATGCAACTCCATTTAGATAATGGTATGCAAAGAAATATAATGTTGAATTGGGATCTAAGAAGAAGGATAAGAAAGTATTGATTATTTTTAAATTAGGAAGGACAACCTGAATAAGTTAAAAAATCAAAAAGTCTTATTAAGAAATTAGAAGAAAGAGCTAAAGAAAATGCTATTGATACTTTTGTTTAAGAATAATTTACCAATTAAAGATTATTGGTTAGAATTACATCAAGACCAGGATAATCAGGAAGAGCTGATGGTTATATTTTAGAAGGAAAAGAATTAGAATTTTATATTAAGAAAGTCGAATAAAAGAAGAAATGATTTCATTATTAATACATTACAGTGCACAAAATTTGTACATTAATATAATTAATTAAACACAATGAGTAATTGTATACTAAAAAATACTAAATAAATTTTCATTTTTTTCTCTTTTCTGATCCAAATAATTAAGAAAACTTTGCTAATTTATTTGCAGTATTATTTGATGTTGTTTTTGGAGAAGGCAAATTACCAAATTATTCTGTTTTTACTCTTTCTATTACATTTTTATTATTTTAATCAGGAACTGTTGTCAATCTATCAGAGCTTAATAATTATTTTGACTGATCAAACAATAATTTTAATTTCTAAATTATTTATTCTTTTTACTTTCAAATCTTGAATAGACATTGATTGCTATTATAAGGTTTTTGAATAAGCATGACCAATTTTTAAGGATTATTAAAGAATCTACGAAGATTTCGCCAAAAGATTATGCTTTTTAAAATAATCATGAGCTTCACTCTTAATATTTGATCTTAAGGCTTTCTTACTTTCTTAAGGGGAATTCTAAATATTTTTTTAATTATATTTTACCTTTAATTTAGATATCGTTTATTATTTTACAGATAATGGTTCCGTTTACACAATTTCTGAAACTATTTTACTTGTATTAATTTAATTTGTTCTATTTGCAAATTCTAATTATGGCCGCGCATAATAAAAATTTTCCAATTTGTAATTTGCATTATCTACATTCTAATAAATTTAATAAAGGTTTGTATATACTTAATATTCATATTAAAGATTTTATGTGTATTATTTTCTGAATTCAGCATCTCCTTTGTTAAATTCTTCTTCATCAAAATTATATTTCAAAGGTTCTGGTTTATAAGGAGGTAGAAGAGTTTAATTTACAATTCCTTCAAAGTCAACATCATGAAACCAGGCATGAGTTAAAATTTCAACAATACCCCCATTTTATCCTAATCTTTTATCAGGATCCTTTTAAAGAAGTTTAATTATTAAATCTTTTAGTTGATCCGAGATCTATACATAGTCTGGAAATTAAACTTTTTCAGTTAATATTGAATTATAAATTTCTTCAGTGTTATGAGAATAAAATGGAGGTAATCCTGAAACTAATTCATAAAGAAGAGCTCCAAGACAATAGCAATCTACTAAATAACTATGTCCACATTTCATTAACATTTCTGGTGCCATATACTCAGGAGATCCACAAAAGGAATAAGCTAATTCTCCCTCTTCCATATTTGGTTTTGATAATCCAAAATCACTTAACATCATATGACCTTATAAATCTAATAATATATTTTCAGGTTTAATATCTCTATATACAATTTGTTATGAATGTAAATAAGCCATACCTATACATACTTCAACAAAATAATATTTTGCTTCTTTTTCATTAAATCGTTTTAATCTTCTCAAATGGTAAAATAACTCTCCACCTGCACAATATTCTAAAACAAAAGCAATATAAAATCTTGTTTCAAATGCATAATGTAATTTTGTTATATATTAATTTTCCATTTTTACCATTATGTCCCTCTCATTTTAAACAATCACTTCTTTTGAATTATCAAATATAAATTTTTTATCAATTAATTTTAATGCATAAAATTAACCATTATCTTTTTTTTTCACCAAATAAACTCTTGAAAAACCTCCTACTCCTATACATTTTATTAAATTAAAATCTTTTAAACCAACTCTCTTTGTAGCTTAAGGTTATGCATACTATGGTTACAATTAGAGAATTATGCCTTAAAATATATTTAAGGGTAAATCTGGCAGCGAAAGATAATAATCATATGGAATATTTTTAGTTACTGTTATAAATTGGCAAATCTTATCCAATTCTAAATTAATCATTCATTTACCATCTTATATGTGTTAATCTTCTGTAGAACCTGTGCCACCTCCTTCTACTTTTGCTGATGTAATCTCTATACTCGCAATTTATTCAATAAGAAAGTTATACAAATTATCTGTTTTTTTATTTATATAATCATATAAATAGTAATATCTAAGATTTTAAAATAAAATTTACTTTGTTTATTTATAAAATAGAATAATTTGAAGTTTTTTTTTAGGATCATATTGTAGTTATTCCTCTATTTTAGTTCTCGATTATTATTTAATTAAAGGAGTTTATTCTGTTTTAGAATAACCTTAATTAAGAGATTTGGAGTCACTTTCTCTTTTTTTAAATAATTTTGAAGAGTAAGGCTGAGGCGATCCTTTTGTTGATTTTTAACTTATTATCATATCATCTATAGATTATCTATGATTTGTTGAAGTATCTGATTATATAGATTACTTATTTTACTTCAAATTAAAGTATTGTTAATATTGATTTGATATCATTTGAGCATTTTTTAACTATTAAATATATAATAAAAATTACCATATCAAATAAATATTTATCTTTTGACTTAGACTTAGTTAAAATTGGTTTTGATTAACTAGAAGGAGATTAATTATAAGATTGCTTAGTAGTTGATGCTTATTTTGAAATTTCTTTTTTCTAAAATATATTTTTTTAATTCATACTTCAAGTGAAACAGCTGCTAATGATAAATTTTTAGTTTTTAAATTGAATCTTTTAGAACTGTTTCCTTCATCTGTTTATACTCTCTATTCAATTTGCTACTCTATATACTAAATGATTTACATTTGGCTATGATGTTTTTGCCCTTTCACTTTTTTATGTTTAAAGAAAAACATTATCAATACTTTTACTCCCTTTCAATTTAGCTCGAATGTTATTTACAGCTTAAGCTAATGAATTCCTTTCTTTCTTAAAATAGTCATATAATTTTGTTTTTCCTTTTTATTAAGGCCTTTCTGTTTTAATTGCTTTAGTTGAGTTTTTTAAAGTTTTCTTTTCCATTCGTTGAGGAGATTCTTAAAAGCTATTGCGACCTGCAATTTTTTGCATTTATTGATTAATTTTCTTCATAACGATATGTAATAATTAATTTATTTAAATAAAAAATATTTTACCATTAAAGTAATATATTCTTTATTAAATGATACATAGAGATATAAATACAAGTTATTTATTATAAATAACTTAATAGAGAATAAAGAAAAATAATAAAATAATTAATAAGATTTTTTATGAATAATTTTTAAAAAGAAAATTTAAATACTAATTAATTATTTTAAGCAATATTATGAAAACATTAAAAGCTGATTATATATGATACTTCAAGTCTACTTTTTCAATAAGGCAGAAAAGGAAGAAAAAACATCATTTTAACTAATAATTTATTTCTATAGAACTTATTTCTATTTTTCTTTTTCAAGAAATTTTTTGCCTATCTCTTCTATTTTTGTCAAATAATAATTCTTATCAACTTTTTTCTTAAAATCTCTTGTTAAGATTTGGTATTGAATTTATAACCATTCAATGTCTTATTACATTCCTTCTATTTCTAAAACTTTTGCTAATCTTTTTTTTTATTCAGGTTAGTAAATCGTTGATTTATTTGGACTTGCGTAATTTGTACTCATATCCGAATCATATTCACTCAAACCTAATGCTAACTACTCTAGCTCAATTGATTACTTCAAACCGATATTATAATGCTTTATTAGAATGAAATTTATCATTTGTGTTTTAAACATTTAACTTAAATTTATAGTTTCCACCTTTCTTGACTTTATCCATTTCCTCTGCATCTAACTAAGAATATTTCTTAATTTTTGTAGTTCCAGCTTCTGTGGATAAAATCATTGCACAATTTTCGCATAAATATATAGCATTCAATACACACACCCATGGATCACTTAAAATAGAGTCTTTAATTTTGATATAATGTACCGCATTCTAGGCAATGTTGTCTAAAATACATGGTGAAATAATAATATTAAAATTATTAATTTTATATATTACAATATTTAATCAAACTTATTATAGATTAGTAGCTTCGACTGGTTTGAATAAACTTTTTGTTATATATACTGGTTGCTTATTAGATTCAGTTGTTACTTTTTTTCTTTGAGTTTCTTTTCTTTATAGATGAGGAGCTAAAATTAATCTATCACAATACCAGATGTTGTTTGAGTTTATTAAAATATTTCAAAAATCTTTTAATATGGAAATTTATCAATCTTATTTGAAAAAACAAAAAGCTTTAAAAAAAAATATTCGAGTTGAGAATTATTAATATCTATGTCCATAAAAATAAAGGTTTCTAGTATCTATTATTTAGTTAATTCACCATTATTACTTTAAAGAGAATCAAAATGCTATTTAAGAGAATTTTTATATTTAATAATAAGTTTCGTAATGTCATCTTTGTGTTTCATTTCTTCTTCACCAGTAAAGATTCTGTAATTACCAATTATCTTTGTAAAAATACTTTTCACTCTCTCTAGAGTTTCCGTAAGTTCAATATTAAATTCAACAAAATCCTAAGAATTATCTTCTATTAAAAATCGAGCAAACATTAATGCTTTATCTTATTCAAAAAGCATGAATGGTTCTTTTTCAAATCTTTTTTGTAGCTATTTTATACTTACCTTTTTTTCTTTTTTATTATCATCATCAAACAAAAATTATTCTATAACATCAATTATTAGTATTTTTTTAATTCTAAATCTATAATTTAACTCTTCTCCAATATGTAAGACATCATTCATTTTTATAGCTCTTAATTTTTTTGGTACATATATTTATTGTTATTAGAAACTATCATTGTTATTTTTGAGAGTTAAACCTACAGTTTACTCTTTTTTATGAATCAAAGATGATTAAGCAGTTTCTTTATTTTTTGCTTAAACCTATATTAATAATAGATTCTTATATTTATCATCCAATAGATCATATTAATTTGATATTTTAGCAATCTAATCTTGCAACACCTTTTTTTCTTTTGCTTAAATTTCTGATTTCTCATTGTTTTTTATTTTTAATTCATGTACCATACCTTTTAAGTATTCATTATCAGATAAAATACTTTTAATTTATTTATTTTAATCTTCAACATTACATTTTAAAATCCTTATCATTTCTTTTAAATCATCAACTTTAACTACTTTATCGGCCAATCCATTGTTGGTGTTCTTTAAAGCTTCAATTTTTTATGCTAATTTATCCATAAATTAATTTTTTCCTTTAAGATTTTTATGTAAATCTTCAATAGTTTCTTCATATCTTCTGACTGTTTTTAAAGTTTCAGCTAACAAATCTTTGTAGTAATGAGTTTCTTCTTCTTAAATTTTAAGTAATCCTGTAATTTAATCATTTTCTGTTTTTAATTAATTCATCATCTAACTTTATATATACAATTTTTCTTCTATTAAAGTATGATCGTTATAATTAAATAAAACTTATTATCTCAATTATTAATCTAGCATCGTTCTTAATCTTAAACATTCTATATGAGATTCTTATAATTCTATTCTAATCTCATCAATTTTAGTAGTCTTAACGTTTTATTTTAATTATTCTAATTCTTGATCTTTGGTTTTAAGAGCTGTTTTGAGGTCTTAAATTTGTTTTTTTAACTAAAATACATTAATATGGCTTGTTTTTTTATTACAAAACATTTCAACATTTCTAACTAATTCTGTCAAATGAACTACTTATTTTTCTAATGATGATATTTAAGTTTTTAATTTAGTATTTTCATCATCACATTAATTATATTTTTTTTATAATTGTAATAATTCTTAATATAATTCTTCTTTATCTTTTTTTATGTATCTTGGTGTTTACCGTGGATCAGTTAATCTTGTGTCACTAACTTATTTATTATCCACCATTGTTGAGCTACTTATCTTTTTATTTTAATAAAGTGAAACAGCTGATTGTGGTCTAAGAAAATTGTTTGTAACATGATGTAAGGAATCTAAATCTGAAAAATACTATATTGCACTTGGCATTAAAATTTAACATTCATTTGATGACTTTTACTTATATCCTTAAGGTTCATATTTGATTGCCTAAATTCATGAATTATATTAATTTATACATACTGATTGGGGTCGTTTTATTTGTCTGTGAAACATATAATTAATATATTAATGAGTTAAAAGTGGAAATTAATTCCATAATACATTTAAGAATTATAAGAATAGAATGATGAAAATTCTCTTGCAATTCTAAGAAAGTTAGGCAAATTATAAAATTTAAAAGAAGTATTCAATATATTTTTATTAATAGTGTGTTGATAGAGATGAAAGTGAATTAAAAAAATAATATATTTTATTAATGAGAGAGAGAAATGAATATTTTAAAAAATTAAAGACTATATAACTTATTAATGAGTAGAATCCTAACTCTTAAATTGCTTAATCTATTTCATTATTATTCGATGCAATTAATAAGTAGCAATGAACTGATACATATTTAAAATTAATCTGTTACATTATATTAAAAATCATAATACTCTATAAATACTTTCTTTGTTTTTGAAATTATCACCATAAAGAAAGAGACAATAAATTAATGGTATTAGTGCTACATGAAAACCAAATGAATAAAACATTTTATTTTTCAAAAACCATCCAGGTGTGTAACTTTTTGATCTAATATCTAAACCTGAAACCACTAAAAACTATTAATTTTATTTACTCAAATTTAGCAAAACAATTCCAATAATTGCTGAAATGGCTTAAATATTATCATTATTTCCATAAAGAAAATATTAAGAAACTAAGATGGCTCCAATTATTGGTATAGAAGCCAAAAAGAAGGTTTTTCGAGCTTCAGATGAACTGTTTAACCAATCTAATTAAGTTTCATGTTGAGACATAGCAAATCCCCAATGAATACCAGCCTATATTTTCTAAATAGATTTTACTTAAAAAGCTAGATTTATTGATGCATATTTTAATGTTGCATGCATTAATTAACCTGAATAAATTGAGAAGGCTGGATTTATACAAGAATATAATGTTGCTGATGATAATAAAATCAAAGGACTTAAAGTAGCAATTGTAATATATTTAACTTCTTTAGGTGTTTTTATCTCTTGAGTCAATTCTTTAATAAATTTTTTTCTATCTTCAACTATTTTAATTAATTATTCATCAGTGAATATATTCTATTCAGCTACACTTTCTAGAGTTGAAGTTGATTCTTAATCTTTAATATCTTATATTTTATTTTATATTCTTTATGCTTTTTTGGTTGAAAATCTAAATAAAGGATTTAGAGTTCTGAATATTTTTTACATTATTATTAATAAAATAAATTACAAAAATCAAATTTGGTTGAAAGTCAGGCAATATTTATTGATCCTAAAGAACTACTTAAAGTCTCTTAAAGGCTTTGAATTTATATTAAGAATATTACAAAATATTATCGAATATTAATTAAATTTTTATTATGGAAAACTAATCTGAAGTATATGATTCTAACAAATCATAATCAAATCATAAGTAATAATATTCAAAGGGATCTGTATTATATCCTCAAAGTTTTCACTCATAAAAATAAAGCAATTAAACAGCATAATCAAAAGCTTTTAATAATTCATAACTTTAAAGAATAAGTTCCTCTTAGAATAAAAATGAACTTTTAATATAAAACAATAAATAGGAGGATCGTAATAAATTTAATGATTTAAGTAAAAGTTAAAATCAATAGGATGCCATTAATCAAATAGAGAATTAGGATGAATAATCAAATTTATAAGAGTAAGGTATTGAAGCAGAGTAAACGTTTCTATAAAATTAATCTAAAATGTTGGAAAATGTTGAAGATTAAGATTTATAAGATCTACCAGATAAAAATTAAACAAAAAGATTTGATGATTAAAGTAATAATTAGACCTAAATTGCTAAAGATGAAAATCAATCAAATATAGTCATAAAATACATGCCAACTGAAATAACTGATGCTTAAAGCAATGATAAAATGTTAAAGACTTAGGAAGTAGTGGAAAAATTCAAATAAGTTCTCAAATCTCCAAAAACTAGATCACCATAACCATCATCTGATGATCCTTAATAATTAAATAAACCAATTATAAAACCTTTATAACTATTTTAATAAGACAATGAAAGAAGTTATGAGAAAAATGTTGATACGAATTTAAAAGAAATTTATAGATTTTACTCGAAATAAGCCTAAACTTCTAATAAACAAACTACTTTTGATTAACTTCATTAAATTTAATAAGTAATGACATTACAAAAATTTATGTATTTTTGTAAAGATTTCGAATTAATAGATTTGGAAATAAATAATGATTTTGTCTATCAATATACTGGTTCAACTGCAACTAAACCTATAAATAAAATAAAATATAAACATAAAGAAAAAGAGAATTTTATTGTTACAAAATTAATATTAGTAGAGATTTTTAAAAAGTGTTCAAATATATAAGAATTAACTTTTTAAGAATTTTTAATTGCTTTAATAAAAGTTGGTGATTTAATATTTCCAGTAGATAATTCTTTAAAAGCAATATATGATTATTTAGGAGTTCATGATCCTAAAATTTATCGTAAGAAAATGGTTGTTGTTGGTAAACCATTTAACACTAAAGATCAAGGTGAAATTTTAACTTAAGAAAAGTTATATTCTCGTAGATTGATTCTTCAAACTAAACCAAAACTAAGATCTGATAGTTATAAATATGAACCACCAGTTGCTAATATTAATAATATATCAATATAAGAAAAGCCAAAAAATTTAGCTAAAAATTAATAAAAATAGAAAGAGAAATCTAATAATTTAATAAAATGGGAGGATTTAGGAAATGTTACAAAAGAATTTGATCCAAAAGAATTATTGCTTGAATAAGATTTATCAGATAAAGAAGATGAGTATTATTTATAAGAATATTTAATAAAAAAAGATGAATCTTTGTTCAAAGGATAAAAAAAAAAGTAATAAAATAATAATATACAATATTTAGAATAATAAAACTAACAAGAAGATAAATCATTAAAATAAAATTAGAATAATATTACTCTATAAGAATATTCATAATTTGTGCCTAGTTAATAATAGTTATACAAATAATTAAAAAATTAATAATAAACTTAATAATTGTAGCCTATAACATAAATTGATTAATCTCCTATTATAAATCTCAATTAATTTAGGAATTAAACTCCATTATTATTATCTAAATAAAAAAATTTGGTTAGTGATAGATAATCAATTGAATCTCAATCTTAATCATAAAAAGCATAATAAAATAAAGGCTATAAATAATCAACAAAAGCTGTTTTAAATACATCTGTTGAACATAGTTCTCCAACTACAATAAGAAAAGAAAATGATGTATTAAATGCTATAAAAAGAATCCAAGCTGAGAAAAAGTAAAGGGAATAACAAATTTTTGTTGCTTTTATTAAAAACTAAGAAGAGAGAGAGAGAAAAGTAAATAAAAAATGACCTAATTTTTAATAATTTTATAATTAACAATTTAAAAAAATGTCTTACCTTCTACCTCATTTAAATAGTGGTTGGGCAGTTGATTAAGCAATTTTAGATGAAGAAGAGAAACTAGTAATCATCCGTTTCGGACATGATTGGTAAGAATATTAAATTTTAATATAGGGATCCTTAATGTATGTAAATGGATGAAATCCTCTACAAATCCGCTGAAAAAATAAAAAAGTTTGCAGTTGTCTATTTAGTCGATATAACAAAAGTTCCTGATTTTAATACAATGTATGAGCTATATGACCCAGTTACAGTTATGTTTTTTTATAGAAACAAACATATGATGATTGATTTGGGAACAGGTAATAATAATAAAATAAATTGGGCTATGAATGATAAATAAGAGTTTATTGATATTGTTGAAATAATTTACAGAGGGGCCAGAAAAGGAAAAGGTTTAGTTGTTGCTCCTAAAGATTATTCAACTAAATACAAATATTGATAATTAATATATATATATATATATATATATTTAATTATGGATTAAATAATTGAATTAATATAATGGTCAGCCTAACCTGACAATTAGATTTAAAAATAAGTTTACAAAAGGGCTTAAGAATTAAGTTAAGATACATAATTTTTAATTCATTTATGCTCTGTGATAATTGGAAATTATGATGTAGAAATTAGATATAGGGCTGCTGTAATTTTGAAGAGTGCAATTAAAAATTGTTCAACTTTACCTGAATAGTTATAATAAATGCTTGTTGAAGTTGATTTGAGTATTTAAATTATGCGGCAGGCATTTATTATTATTGTCCCAGAAGTTGTTGTCAGAAATGGTATTAAAAGTAAACAAATTAAAATTAATTGTAGATAGCAATTTAATGATGGAATATCTAATTAAATTAATAGATATTGATCCTATTATTGCAACTGATTGTCTATCCAAAATTATTGAAGACTTAAAATTCAATTCAGAAAATATTAACTATTATGGAACAGATTCAGGTTTGTAATTAATTGATTAACTTATCTTAAAATTTATTTCTTTAGTTGAGCATTCTAATACCTAAGTTGTTGTAAATTCCTTAAATTTTTTAAACTATAACATTTTCTTTATGCCACCTACATTAAATCAATATATTGATTGTTATATTAAAATTTTGATTACAGGTACTTAATCCTAAGAATAATAAATAAGATTGAAGTGTTTTTAAGGAATTCAAGCTTTAATAGAAACAAAAAGAGATAAAATAAAGTAGATGAATACAATAATAATGGCTTGCGTTTAATCTTTATAGGATCCAGACTAAGAGGTTGTTCGATTTGTTGAATTATGTTTGACAGATTTTTTAAGGATTGATGATGCAGAGGATTATGAATAAACGCATCTTCTTGAACCTTATTTACAATAGATATTATAACCTATTATTCTTAATCTTGTTTTAACAAAAGCTGATTAAATAGCAATATAACCAACTTTTTCAAATGTTTATAATAAAACTGATAAAAATGATGATGAAGAATAGGAAGATGAAAAACCTTAAGGAGAATACTCATTAAGATCAGTGTCAAATCTATTGCTTACAAAATTAATAGAATTTTATGATAAAATCATTGTACCCATATCATTACAAATTATTGATTAATTATAATTATCATAAGATTGGAAATAATAAGAAATTGCTATAATTTGTTTAGGATTATTTGCAGAAAAAATTATAGAAAATCATAGTAATCTAGTACCAAACATATTAATGTCCTTGTTTAATGAAAAGAATTAACAAAATGAATATATATATGCCTCAACATTATGGACTTTTTCTTAGTATAACGAATGGATTAAAGCGATTGCTATAAATGAAACTTAGTTTATCTAATCCTATTTGAAATTATTATTGATTTCAATAGAAAATTAATCATTGTATAACATTTATTATATAATTTAGAATAGTTAAAGAATCTGCATGTTCAGCATTAAATTCATTATCAAAAAATGCATTTTTCATATTATAACCATACATATTAGATTTATTCTAAGTTTATTTAAAAGCTTTGTCTTAGAAAGGAGGAGTATTACTATACATATATTAATCAATGACAACAATTTTAGCAGAATGTGAAACTATAGAGAATTAAGAATTAATAGATTTAATAATGACTAAATTGATAAATAATTTAGTTGATTTGAATGATTATAATATATGTCCACTTTATGGTATATATAACATCATCAATTTATAGAATGTTTGGCAGAAGCAGTAGAGAAATTCGGATAAAGAGCAATAAAATATATTCAAATTATTTATTAGGCGATTGTATAATCTATGAATGGTTATGTTTAATCTATTTAAAATGGAAAGACACGTTATTTATATTAATAAAAGGAGATTTTAAAAAGATCTTTTGATTTGTGTATAAAAATTATCAACATCACATAAGAAAGATTTTTAGAATTAAGTGATTAATCATTTTTATAGATCGTTGATCTTGCTTTATAAGATTCTGAAACTGATGTTAAACAATATGCTTTATCTCTAATAGGAGATTTGATAAAAAACTGTTATACAATTTTCAAGAATGTAAATATTGCAATTGTACTGTAAAGATATCATTAAATTTAGAAATGAATACATTTATGCTTAATCAATAAGTATTGATCCTTCTAAATTATTTTTGGCAACATCAAATAATGCTGCTTGGGCTTTGGGAGAATTGGCTATAAAAGATCCGGCAAAAATTACAATAATATTTAATGCTGTAATGGAGAAGCTGATAAAAATAATAAATGAGCCAAAATTTCCAAAATCAATAGCATAAAATTTATGTATTGCAATATGCAGGGTAGCTGGATCACATATATAATAAATAGAAGAATTGGTACCTAATTTTTTCAAAAGAGTTTGTTTAATCCTTAGTTAAATAAAGAATAAATCATTTGAGGAATACAAAGAGGAATCTTTTAAGTATAAGAATATATTGAATTTTTAGGATCCTAATAAATATAGTGAAAATGTATCCAGGGAAAGTAATAAACGATATTAAATATTTTGTTTATTGCATAGTTGTTTCAACAGAGTTTCCATCTATAAAACCACTTTTTATTAACATATTATAAGAATTGAAATAGTCTTTTGGCTAATAGAAATTTGATAGTATGTTTAGCAGTGAGGATTTACCTTAAGGATTTAGGATGAAAATGATAAATATTTATGGTGTGTGAATAAATTAAAAAAATTATGCGTTTTTGAATATTAATTAATATAAATGAGATTTTTAGTGATTGCAATTTTTGTGATGTTTGTAACATCATAAGAATTTGTATAATTTTACTCTGCATTTGAAAATGCTGATGTAAGTTAATTGGATGGATGGACAATATAAGGATCATTGTCAAAATCTTAGGGTGATAATTTTTTTAGTTGTTCATCATCTGCTGTATTTGGAGGACCTAAGTCATTTGGTAAAGGAGCAATAATAACTAAACAATTTTAATTGCCACCTCATTTTTAGATAAAAATATAAGTTGAAGTCTGGAAGTATAATAATATAATAATATTAGATTTGATGCATGGGACACATAGAGACAATTCTTTTATTTAGATAATTACCTTTGGGAAACAATGTGGACTGGAAGTGATGGAACAAAGAGATGTGCAACTCCAGCAGGTGGTAATGTAAATTCATTCTAAGTTGATTAAACAATAACTCATAATCATGCAGCATTATTTATTGCATTTACATCTTCAGCAGATAAAGTAGCAGATAAAGTATTATTTATAATAAATATGTTAGATGTCTTGGGGTATAAGAAATTTGAAATTATTTTATTTACCATGTCCAACAGAATGTGGTACATGTCTTGGACCAGATGCTATTGTTTGTTAAATGTGGGTTCCTGTTTCATCAAGTTGGATTAAAACATTAGATGCAGATGGATGGTAAGCAAAAGGATCATAAAATTCTATTAAAACAAGTACTTGTGCAGGTATTCCAATTATTGGTGGACCTGGTAATTTTGGTAATAATGTATCTATTTAAAAAATATTTGATAAACTTGTACCACATTATAGAATGAAAGTTATAGCATAATTTTGGAAGATTGATAATTGGGATAATGATAATGCTGTTTTACTTATTGATAATTAAGAAAAATGGAAATAGAATGTAGCATAAGTAGAAGATAAAGAATATTTCATTTGTGATAAGATTAGTCCAGGAGGTGTTGATGGAACAGAAAAGGTTATTAATATAAATTTTGAAACTCCTCATAATTATGGTGCTGCACTTGTTAAATGGAC